CCCACTTTCTTCCCCTCATAAGTAGAACAGCTCAGGGATCCGTTATGGAATTTTATACCACCAAGCTGTGCTTTTTAAGATTTTCCTTTTGAAGGATTCCCAATTTGGAAAATGCATCTTTAACAGCTGTATTTCTTAGTGTTTCTCTGAATCTTCGTTGTCTTTCTTCCTCTCCTCCTTTGACCTTTTCTTTCTCTTCAAAGGTAAGAGATAAAACCACAGAGGAACACAGGGTGCATCGATGCTTTCACCACTATTCCTTCAATAACACACCGTACAGACATGTCATCCATATTATAGAGGTGTCCTCATCTGTAGCGGGATCATTTGGGATGTCTGGGAACTAATTCTGTATCGTACAAGGGAAGTGAACCTCACCACAAGGACCTCTCATGTTCAGTCAGGTCTGAATATGAGACGGTCTGGGCTACAGGCCAAGCACAAGGGTGAAAGTAGGAACAAGTTTCCACTAAGGAGAACAAAACGCCCATGCTCCTTTCATGCTCCATTTTTCATGCAGGCTGAACATGAAAATAGTCTCCTACACCCATCTTCTGCATTAGCTTCTGATAAAAAATAGACAATGAAACTCTAGGATTTGAAAAACCTGACAGATCTACGTCGCACTGTTATTTAACTTTCATCGACTCACCCGTATTGACTCACGATGAGGAAGGCTGTTGTTGGTAGTAGTAGCTAGTAGAAGCTAACTGTTAGCATTAGCAACTTCACCACACAGCAAAACTTCAAACTTCAGTTATTTGTGGAGCTAAAATATCTACGTTGTGAGTCACGTTGCTGTTATCCAATCAGAGGTGAGATGTCCAAATTTCAGGAAATAAGACTGCAATTCCTGCCGTCTGAAGCTCACTTCTAGTTCCTGGAAATGGTGCACTGGTGTTTTTCCCCCCAGAGTACAACTTGCAAGGCATTCTTTCCTACTGATAAAACGAGTGTTCTTTCAGTGCAGACAAGACAGAAGTTTTATATCATTCAATGCAGTTTAAAAGGTTGGAATGTAGTCATCATGTAGTTTTTGGACGTTGCATCGTAGCTAAATCATCAAATGCATCAGCTTCAGATAAATGCAGACGACCTAAACGTCCGAAGTAGAAAATATAAGGAAGGATACAGCAGAAGAGCTGGAAGGTGGAGAACACAACAAAGCACTCGCTAAGTCATGGCGTGTTGGCGCCTTCCAAAACTTTATTGTCACAAAGTTGCCTGAAAAGCTGGAAGTTCCTTTTAGTTCCCATCAGGAACTACGTGATGGAACCGCTTTCTGTTTCCACATGCTTTTAGTCCATTAAAAAGACATTATTATAATTCTGATAAATCTTTCTGCTTCTCGAGATTCAGTCTGTGGTTTAAAATAGTAATTGTGTTAATATTAGAACTGGTCATTTCTCAGCATTATATTCTCCACTGTGAGGCCTGCTCTAGTGATGGTGGGTGGAGATTTGAGCGAAGGCAGATGAGCATTTATGTACGTCCCACTGAGCAAATGAACAAGAAGCTGTAGAGTGGTTTCCCAAGAAAAATAGAAAGCACAAGGGTTGTTTTTGTCCTGCCGAATTTTCCAAATGTACACATTTAGCTGGGTTTATCCACTACTGGTGTCAGACCCAGAGATTCTGTAACAAAAGGTGTCATTTCTTTTAATTAGTGGGATCAAATTTAAACGGCTGATCAACAACTTGAAAACAGACAATATTCACATTTTTTTCTTTTTTCCATTAATTTAATTGTAATTTGAATGTTCGTTTTTCTAGTATGGTAATCAGAAATGTGAAGCAGTCTGTTAGACGCCATCAGCGTAACCTTTAAAAGGATTTTAAAAAGGTGAATTCATACTTGGTGACAAATTAGCAACCAGTCCAGAGTTCACCTTGTCTCTTACCCAGTGGGAGCTGGTTTCCAAGCCTTTCATGTGAACATAGATAATTAATGAATGGATGAATAGATTAGCCAGTTTAGCTCCAATCTCCCCATCATTTTCCTCCAAATCTGAAAAATGTGTTTCCACATGTATTTTAATGCTAATGAAGGCAGAAGTCTCAGTCCATGGTCCAATTCTTCAACCCCGATGAAACATCTGTATCAGGGGTTCTATATCCTTGTCCAGGAGGGCCGGTCCAGCATGTTTTAGTTTTAACCCGGTTTCTACACACCTGATTTCAATCAGCAGGTGATTTATAGGCTTATGCAGAGCCTGATGAGCTGCTGAACAGGGGATTCAACCACAGAATCAAGTAAGTTGGAGCAGAGAAGCCACAAAAACATGCTGGATACCGGCCCTCCACGACTAGGATCGACAACCAACGATCTGTGTGGTGACAAAAGGTCGCCATAGGTCATCGTGTCAATCTGTTGCTAGAATATAATGTGGAGGTGGGGCTAAAATGACTTAGCCCTTTTCAGACAGACATTCTGGAACATTTGCGGACAATTCAATCCAGTTTTTAACCGGAACTGTGTTTTCAGACACACCACTTTTGTACCGGAACTTGTCCTTTCGGCTGCGTTCACACAGCAGGGAAAAGTTCCAGATGTCTGACGGTGGCGGGGGGTGGGGTGGGGGGTAATCGGACTTATGTTAAGAAGAAGAAGAAGAAAATATCATTTCTATAGCGCCTCTCAAGATAAAAAATCACGAGGCGCTTGAGCATAATTATGCGCACACGAAGACGCATAAGAGACCTGGATGATGATGCTGAAGCGGTGTGAAGCGCTCCGTTGCGCGTCTAGACGGTACCGTAGGAGGCGAGCTGCCGTGGTTTGCCGCATGCTACAGCAGCTGGCTATATAGGTGTGCACAGCGTCCCCCGGTTCCCTCCTCCTCCCCCTCCCTCTTGTCCGGAACTCTACCTCACCAGTCTGAAGCAGCCACCCTGTCCGTAACAAGTCCGGACCTGTTACTAGGGGCTTCGTCCGGATAAATTCCGGAACACATTATCCGGATGTTTGTATTCAAACAAAAAGGTCTTACGGACAGAGTCCGGAACATTTCCGTTTTTCATGGCCTGTCTGAAGGAGGCTTTATAGACAATAGACTTGTCGTTCTTTTTAACTCATTTATTGCCATTGACAACTAAAGCAGTCATTTGCATATTTTACTGTGTGGGGGTCGGAACGAGCCCCCACACGGTAAGAACAAACATCCCAGCTCTAAAGCTGATCTTTATCCGCATATGTCACGTGATCAGGAAGCAGAAAATCCATGTGTTAGGAGATTGTTTTGGGCCGCCACAGTAAAAGAAAGTGAGGAAAAGCTTCTGCCGATCACAATTCGACAATGGATTATGAAAAAACAGAAAATAAGTAATAAATAAAATTATATAGACAGTAAAATAATAATATAAAATAATGAAACTGTGCTAAAGTATAATCATATAGAACATGCAAAGCAAGCAATAAAATATAATCATGTAAAACGAGAAATAAAACTGTAGTAAATATTTAGATAAAAGCTAACCTGAAAAGATGGGTCTTGAGCCTGGACTTAAAAACATGAACGTTCTCTGCGGCTCTGAGGTCCTCTGGCAGCTCGTTCCAGAGGCGAGGGCCATAACACTGGAAGGACCCCTCACCGTGAGTGTGTGTCCTGACTTTAGGGATGACCAGGAGACGCTTGCCAGAGGAGCGCAGAGTCCGCGAGGGTTCATATGGTAAAAACAGTTCTGAGAGATAAGACGGCCCAAGACCGTTAAGACACTTAAAAACCATTAGAAGAACCTTAAAATGGATCCTGAAACATACGGGGAGCCAATGCAATGATTCTAAAACTGGTGTCATGTGCTCCCGCCTCCTGGTCTTCATCAGGACACGTGCTGCCGAATTTTGTAGAAGTTGTAAGCCTGAGATGCTCTTTTTAGGAAGACCAGAAAGCAGGGCGTTGCAGTAGTCTATTCTACTGGTGATAAAAAGCATGCATCAGCATCTCCGTATTGGCCCGAGAGAGCATGGGGCGGACTCTGGCGATGTTCTTTAGATGATAAAAACCTATTTTTGTGATATTTTTAATGTGTGGGATAATCTTCATCATCATAGAGCACAACGTTATGAGACTCTTCAATTAACAGTAAAAAAAACTCAAAAACCACTGATAGCGAGAGGCTTTTCTGATCAGGAAATGGCCAGCAGTTAATGAGCTAATTGGCAAATTTGTCATTATGATGTCATAAATCTTATTTGGGTATTATTGTTTATTATTTGGGACAAATGAAAAAGTAAACAGAAGGAATTTTTCATTTGTTCATTTTAATCAAACTGTCACACAGTTTATAAAATGCTGAAATGCTGTTAAAATAATTGAGAAAATACATTTGGAAGGTATTTTTTCCCCCCACAGGTGAAGGTCCTACTCTTGTTTTGAAATGCAACTCTGCTAATTCTTCATGTAAAAGTGTAGACACCCCCACCCGTCCTCCTAGACCTCCTGGGACACCCCTTGAGCACAACTGTTAGGCACTACTTTGTACTTAAGCTGTAATTTCTATAAATCTTATGTGGCCACCGTTTATTAGTAGAAATCAAATAACTTCTAAAAGAATCCCACCTTATACTTCATGGTTACTCTGTTACATTTCTTATGATGAGCTGGATTATTCCAATAGGGTGGTTTAGTTTTCTAAGCCTATAGCCGCTCATCTGTGCATAAATAACCAGAGGCAGATTGCAATCGTCCCTCCCCTGTCTGAGCTGAGACTCACTGTGCCGGCTAATAATCCTGCTATGATAATCAGTCGCTAACGGGATTGTTTTTTTTTTCCTATCAAATGAAAATCTGCCCCAGATCTGTTATTCCCCTGTAGTTTCTTCTTGCCCTCACACTAATGTGCGAGTGTATGCTCAGATTATTGTTCTGGCCTGTAGCGGCTGTGATGTACTTATTCTTTCATCTTTGTCTCTGACCTCGCCAGCTGAACAACAACCTCTCACAACATTTGTCAGAATGAATGGCTTTACTAAAGTCTCTCCTCGCATATTTCTTTGTCCAGAGAACCAGATCCCACATGGCTTCCCCACCATTGATATGGGTCCCCAGCTGAAGGTGGTGGAGAGGACCAGAACTGCCACCATGCTGTGTGCTGCCAGCGGGAACCCGGACCCCGAGATCACATGGTTCAAGGACATGCTTCCTGTGGACATCGGCACCAGCAACGGCCGCATCAAACAGCTTCGCTCAGGTACTCAGTCATACAATCTCATTGATTTCTGTGACTCACTGATAATGTACATACAACAAAGACGAGCTGCAAGGTGCCAGAAGTCACTGAAAACCTGCAGACGTCGTGTCAGACACGAAGCTAACGTGGGAAGAAACAATAGAAAACCTTTGTTGTTTTGTATGATTCCTTGTATTGACTTTCATCACAAAGAATATGAAAGTTTCCTCGGCGTGTCATTGCTATCATGATTAGTTTGCTCAGAGCTTACAGAAGTTTATTCCTTACATCAGCACAGCAGCCGCTTAGAAAGTCACTGAAGTTGGAATGACACCGTCTCTGTTCTTGTCGTCTTTGACAGCGAGGCGTGAACTTTTCAAACCTTTTGAAGTACAGAGCGAGAATATTTCAACCTATTAAATAATCCCTAATCCCCTTTTAAACATGCAGCCGGGTCACAATGAGGCCAGAGGAGGATGCATTAGCTGGGATTCAACCATAAGCCAATGGTTCGCTCTGTGTTCCCGGTGGCGATCCCGACAATACGTACACAGCGGCTTTTGACCCGGATCTGATCTGAAATGTGTGAAGTGGATAGATTGGTAGAACAGATCCAGCCTTTCCTGACTTTGTGAGGTAGTGAATCCCCTCCCCTTTTCATAAAGATTTTACTTTTACCACGTTGGAGGAACAACTTATGAAGTGTCAGGTTAGGCTGCAAGTCTGGGTATCCAAAGGTCAAAGGTGAGAGATGCTCAGTGGAAACTCACGGGGACCGTCGTTCCTGCAATGTTGAATTATCATCTGTTACAAGCACAGCCCCAATTACAAATGCATTTCTACAAACCTACTCATCTCCTTAATTGTTTAAGTGTAGGGAAAAAATGTGCAAAACATCGTTTTACTTCCAGTGACAAACTTTTAATTAGTTTTCCTTCCCCACGTACATCGAGAGTGCCTGAAAATGTGCTGATATGCAATGCCCTCAGACTAATGCGTCCTTTTATCCTCCACTCTTTTCCTGACATCTGCTGCTGTATCAGGGTTTGCATTACTAAATATGACATGAAATTAGGCCAGTTTTACAGTGAATGAAAAATAACATAATTTGATGCAAAAGTTGACCAGTTTTCTGTTTTCTAACACATTTGCTTTAATTTTTATGAGCTGACCAGCACATTTCTTCTCTTATAAGACGATCCAAATCACCCACTCTGCGACAGTACTGACTTCTGTTCAGTTGAGTCCGTCTGGCTCTAATACCTCTTCCCTATCGCCCTTTTTACTGTGTGTTATCATCATTAATTACCCCCGTCTGTTTTACTAACTGCTGTCTGCAGTAAGAGTGGGGGCCATCTTAAATCAGAAAGTTTAATTAAAACAGCGTTATAATATATTAACGCCGATTCAAAGCAAGAGCAGATGTGCTCGGGGTTTCTGCCTTCCAGAAGGAAAAAAGCGGAATGAAGGATATTTCATTTCAAAGCCGTAAGAAAGGATCGGTTTCAAAGGCGGTGCTGTTTTTAATAATTACAGACAACCTGCTCCGTCACATTTTCATAATTACTTCCAGCTCTAGCATTGATTAAGTGTGCTGAACTTTGGCTGGTTGCATTCAAGTGGCCTCAGCTCAATCACGTTCTTTTTATTTTTTCCTTTTCTTTCCTATGGACATGTTTTTTCCTCCCCTGCTATAAGTGGATTACTAACTAATCTTTCAACCCTGTTTTCACTGGAAATTACTCCCACCTAGGTGGTACAACAATTAGAGGTAAGAATGATGAATAGTGTGTTGGAAAATGTAACATCCACACCATTCCCTCACGCCCACGTCAGACCCCCCTACATGTTTTCCCATTGCCACACCGCCGGGTTCATCCTCACTGTCGGTGCCAGCCCGCCTCCTTTTCCGCCTCCTCCCGCGTCTTCTCCTCCCAACATGTCCCGTCTGCTGTCTGGTCCTTGACAAACAAATGATCACCAACCTTGTAGTACGAAGGGAGATGCACAAATTCATTATGCTAGCTTGTAAATGAGCTTTTCAAGGTTTCTTCCATAGCGTGAGAAATAAATGCCTCTTTGCCTTTGCTCGTTGCTTCAGCTTTCGTCTTTAGGTTTTCAGCGAGGAGTCAAAACCAAAGGCCACCGGCGTCACACAAGGATCCGTCCGCCTGATTTGTGCAGCCTTGTTGTAAATTTAAATGACTGCATTTGCATAGTAGGAGTTGCCCTCCAGCATGGGAACTGGGTGCCTGTTGAGAATGTTAAGGTGGAAGTCTCAACCTTCTGCTTTTCCTCTAGAGAGAAAGTGTGTTTTCCCCTCAACGAGACTGTAGTTAGTGCTGGATGTCTGGGTCGATTTTCGTAGCTGCTTACGGACCCATATTCTAGCAGATGTACATCAGCGCTGATGACTCGTTGGTACAAGCTGTACGAGATCCACAAGCGTTAGGAAGCGACTGCAGTGGTTGAGCACTGACAACTTCCACGTTGCAGTAACCTTGTGCTTTTTTTTTTGTGCTCAAACTGTTTTCTCCCACGAGAGAGCTGGCAGATTGACAGATTGGTGACACTGACATTAACATGCAGGTGCACGTCGGCGCTGAATCAGACAGCGATGAGCTCAGAGCGCTGAACAAACACCTCCAAGGGATGTGTTGTCATGAGATCTGAAGTTGTATTCTCACATGTCACCGCTCCGCCCCCTTTGCTTCTGTTTATCGCTCTTGTCTCTGCGTCGAGTCCCTTACGGTTGGTGGTGAACCTGTTTGTTACATTCATCTCATACTGCATGATGTATAAATGTATCTTATGCTGAGTATTTTTGTCATTTACAAACTGCATGGTGTCTGGCTGACTTTGGTGCTAGCGCCATGCCGCTTGTTCAGATGAGACGACACAATGTTCTACCAAGAGATGTAGTTTTTGTTTTGTCATTTCAGTTGTGGTGCAGGTAAGTTGCTCAGTTGGTTCATCTTTTGCAGTTGCAAGTCAATGGAAATGGCTGCACAGTGGAATAAAAAAAGGCCAAACAAATGGATCTCTGGGGCTTTTACACGCTGTTAGAAGCAACATGTTGGCTTCCATTCAGATGCCAACAACAACTTGGAATTGAGAATACAAATCAGAGCCATCTGGCAGAGAAAAAAGTCCCCCTTAGCTAAAACTTGGTGAAGAATTTCTTCACTGCATCCAACCAAACAAATCACCTGTTACTTTTAGTTTTAATACTGTTTTGAGCCATTAATAAAACATATACACTGCATGGCCAAAAACGTTACTCAATAACATTTTGTCGGAGCCCTTTTAGCTTTGATCCTGGCACACATTCAATACGGCACAATTTCGGGAAACATAAGGCAAGTTACAACATCCACTTCCACCCAGCCTTGCGTTAATGTTTCAGCAACTTCTCATATTAATGATGGAGGAGTCAGACCGCTCTGAGATTCCTCCGACTCCTCCCTGGGATTCTCACGGACACGGAGGTCTGGACTCTGGTGGTCAGTACACGTGAGAAAATGATGTCATGCAACTCAATGGTTACATCATCTTTCACTCTTCTTGGTGCAGGCCAGTAATAACGTAAAACTATTAAATGTAAATCATATATTTAAGATTCAATTATATTACGAAACTAAATAGTTACATTACATGTGAAACTTGAAATATTAGAAAATGGTGCAAATGTTCATTTATGCCAATAATTCTACTTTCTTTCTTTCTTTCTTTCTTGCTTTACATATTTATTAGCTTATATTTTAGGAGGATAAAACCACTTGAGATGAGTCATCTCACCTTTGAGCAGGTCCTCCTACATTATAGCCAATAAAAGAAAGACATCAGATATCGTTATAGTAAAGCAGATATCTGAAGTCTGGTGGACTCGTGGGGACCGGGCTTTCTCAGTCCCAGCTCTGTCACTCTGGAACCAGTTGCCCCCCTCAGTTAGGCCGTCCCCATCCCTGCCGGATTTTAAGAGTCGCCTGAAAACCCACTTCTTTCGCTTGGTGTTCCCTGATCGTTTTGGGGTTGGCCCTCTTTTATGCTGATTTTATTCCCTGTTTTTATTGGTCATTTTATCCCTTGTTTTATCTATTTGTTTCTACTTCAATTTTTTAATTATCTTTGCACTATTTTATGTGCTTTTATTATCTACTTATTCATTGTGATTTGCATTTCTCATGTACTGTGCCCACCGTCTTGGGCTCCCTGACAGGGTTGCGGAAGGCGCTTTATAAATAAAGCTTTGATTGATTGATGTATGACTTACAGATGATGAAAACTCCACGTTTATAATATCAGACAATTAGAAAATTATGAAAAGGTTCAATGTTTTGGACTCAGTGTCACACTCTAATCAGCTAATGAATTCAAAACACCTGTAAAGGGTGCCTGAGCCTTTACATGGTCTCGCAGTCTCAGCTGGATTACTGACATAAATGGACTTTTGCACCATATTTGGGGGCAGCAGTAGCTCAGGTGGTAGAGCAGGTTGCCTCATGATCGGAGGGTCATGGGTTTGATTCCAGCTCCCGCCAGGGGTATCCTGCTGTTGTGTCCTTGGGCAAGACACTTCACCCAACTTGCCTGTGTTAGTGGTGGTCAGAGGGGCCGTCGGCGCCAAATGGCAGCCTCGCCTCTTGTCAGACCTCCCCAGGACGGCTGTGGCTACAAGTAGCTTACCATCACTGGCAGTGTGTGAATGTGAGAGTGTGTGAAAGTGTCTTTGGGTGTCTAGAAAAGCGCTATATAAGTTCAATGCATTATTATTATATTCTAATTTTTCAAGTTTCACCTTTATGTATCTTGATAAATATAAAATGTAGCGTGAATTTTAAAATGATCACGTGAATAAAGTGCTTTGTGTCCTCAGATGACATATTTTTGTGAAGTATTTTACAAAAAACTGAGTGTTAGATTTTATCAAGATTTAGATTATAGTTCAAAAGCATCTTAAAGGAGACATTTTGCACTAGAAATCTTTTTAGCTGTATTTTGGTTTAAATGTGTTAATGTTCTGAAAATGTTGCATTTATTTCTGGATTGCTGAAGTTTTGTTGCTCGGCCATGTCATAAGAAACGTTTTACAAAGAAAGGATTTAGAAAAATTAAAACTGATGAAACAGATTTTATTGGGCCCAGATTTCTAGGCCAGTGTGAGCAATGATTTTATATTAAAACAGGTCAAGCAAACGTGTGATTTATTTAGTCCATATTGCCCATCACTATTTTTCTTGAAATATCAATATTGAGGATTAAATAGTCGTGATTTTCAGTGGTTTATTAAAACCATAAGTGAACCCCAAGCTGTGATCTTTTCTCATCTTTTTCATGACAAATTAATTTAATCAGCAGTTTGTTTTTATTCTCCATATCAGACATCACACCCATCTGAGTCTGAACTAGGTTAGACTAGTTGACTGCTGTTTCTTCAGTAAGCATAAAAATGTCTTGGGCTTCTGTCATCTGTCAGGGAGGCTAAATGTGTTGATCCTCCTTGCAGGAGCTCTACAAATTGAGAACAGTGAGGAGTCCGACCAGGGGAAGTACGAATGTGTCGCCATGAACAGCGCTGGGACTCGTTACTCCGCCCCTGCCAATCTCTACGTCAGAGGTAAAGTCAAACATCTCACTCATGGACCTAATCAACTATGAATGTAAAGCAGCCGTGGAGCCTTCTAACTCCTCTCTTTTACCTTCCTCTGTACATCTATGGTGAAACACATGAATTGACTTTTAACTGTTGTATTTTTTCCAACTATTCCCCTCATCTCTGTCTGTCTTCACCCCAACTCTCTAGTTTCTTCCATTCCAAAAAGCTGAACTAATGTCAGCCCCCTGTTTGGCTGAGAACTCAACCAGGTGCAGCTCCTGAGAAAACAGCTGCACCGACACCAGGCTTCTTTTCTTTTTTTTCTCTTTTTTTATATTGACTGTATCGAAAGGGTCCATACCCCCCCCCCCCCCCCCCCCCCCCCCCCCCCCCCCCGTGCAACCCAGAGCTTCTAAAGACAAGGAGGGGTCTCGGGTTTCCAGGGTTTGTTTTTGCTAAATGTCTCCATGTGCAGACTAATGCAGGGCAAGGGCCGGATTGTATCCATCCTGTAAAAAGCCACTATAAGGGAGTGAGTGGTCTGGGTCAGCCCCTGTGGATAGCACCAGCACGTCTGATGTACATGAAACGCAATAGCAGCTTCAGTTGTTAGCGTGTGAAAGTGTGGTAAGAAAAACGACATGCATGGCTCTCATTTCATTATTCTGTTAAAAGCCTATGTGCTGTATTATGCAGGCTATTTTATGGATGAGATAGACCATTGTGTCTTCTTTTATTCAGATAAAAAAGGTAGATTGTATTCTGTGTACTTCAAGAGCAAAAATGAGGAATGTTAAAATGACACTAGATGGGGTTTTTTAACTTTAAGCTAGAGCTTTACCAATAATCTCAGCTTTTGTTGAGTTAGAAACTTGAACAGTTTCGTATTTGACGCCACGCTGCAGCCCTCTGCTGACCAAAAACTGCACCTAACAGTTTTGTGGAGCAGGAAGGTGTTCTATAGGGGGCACACTTTACCTGCTCTGTCATGGTTGTTTGCTGTTATGCTAGCAGTTAGCTTTTTCAGTTTGCTGATCATCAATAAAAACAGAAGAAGAAAAAGAAGAAGTTTGCTTTTATGTTGGCATGGAGCCTGGAAGCAAAAGTAAGGGAGTAATGTCTTTGGCGGAAAAGCAAAGCACTAAAACCAGAGTGAACATCTGTGCAGCCTATGCTAGTTTGAGGGAACTAAAGGAGGCTACAAAATCACAAACTGATGGTGACCTGGCTTTGTTGTTATTGGACTTGTAAGTAATCATAATTTTTTGTCCAACCAGATCATGGTATTTTTAGTATTAGTTGGCTCATGTTAGTGTTAGCTCATTAGCGTTAGCTACAGCAGGCTGCAGCAGGGTTGTTCACGACACGACCATTCGGGCGGAGGAGCAGGAAACTGCTTAGTGTTTCTCTCCGTTTCCCATTTGTGCTGGTAAACCATGTAAATGTTTTTCACAAGACACAAAACCTTCATCTGAATCAAAGTTAAAATTATCCTCAAGGGTCAAAGTTTGATCTGCAGATTAAAAACCGTGGCTTCTAGAAAGTTTAGCTCTTTAATCTCGACAGGAGGAGGGAGTCAGCCAAACAGCAAAAGGCGAGGAGAGGATGTAAGTCTCGTCTATTAATCAAGACGTGTCTGTCACAGGTGCAGACGCTGGCTTTTTTCCCCTCTCACAGGTAATTACAGTAGTTGTGTGGCGTGGCGCCAGCAGGGCCTGGGGGCCTTTCTACTTTCTAACACCACCCAGGTAGCTGTCAACCCACTGGCCCTAATGCCAACTTTTTCCGCCAGCCTCCTCACACCGGTGGAGAGATAGAAATCAAACCAACCGTAACCTTCTTGACTGGAACGGAGAACAAAGGCTGGAGCCATGTTTTCACTCTGTCTTTGTTACTGCTGCGGGAGAGGGGAGACGAGACCCGGGGCCGTGCGATCACTCTGCTGCTAGATTGGGTTCAAAACATCAGCGACTTTAGACAAGTGGTCTTTGACGCGCCTCTCTACCTCTCCTGTTGTTTTCACTCTCACTCTCTAAATACGAGGGAGATTTCAGTTCTTTCTCACATCAAACATAATTGTTAGACGGCAAATGGATCATCGATTTACTGTTGACTCTTCAGATGTTCGATCTTACCTGTACAGCATTTAGCCGCTGCTTAAGATTTCAACAAATAATTAGAATTATTTTAGTAGAATACAGGGCTTAAAATAGCCGTGTTCCATTAATTCCTTTTTAATGTTTGGGTAAATTACAGGAATCTATCACTTGATTAAAAGCAGAGCCTTTGAACTCTTCACCCTCCCCTGATGAAGCAGTAATTGGCCATCTTGGAAAAACCCAACTAATTTGGGGCTGTTTGAAGGTGACATATGAAAGGATTGCAATGACAGAAATGGGGAAATATTCACTACACACACTCACACTCTCACGTGGCTGTCAGATTTGCATTAAATGTGCGTGTTAAGAGTTGGTGTTTTGTATCCCGAATGTAATTTTGTCCTCTCACTGATCTAATTCCTTTTCTCAAGTACACAAACATGCTGCCAGCACCACCTTCAACACCCTTGTCTTGACATTTTCGAGCCACCAGAGAGTGATGTCCTCATGTTGGGGGGGGGCGTCTGAGGGGGGTCAGCTCATGGATTGTTTCTACCCTTCCACCATCTTTGTATCAATTTACTGTATGTCCTTCCACTTGTTACCCATTAGGACTGTGACCGTGTTTGTAGGTGTGCAACTCTGGGCGGCGCGGAGGACTCCCATCAACGTGGGCTGCGACTGTGCCCGAGCGCTCATTTGTCAAGCGTTTATCCCACAGCCGAGGAGGAATGTCAGCTTCTGTCTGCTGGCACTCTTTCATATATCCATGTGACGTGTCAATATGTCACAAGGGATAAAGGGCTGCAGCTGGGATTTTTACCAAAATATCTCCATGCTGTCGTGTGTGTGTGTGTGTGTGTGTGTGTGTGTGTGTGTGTGTGTGTGTGTGTGTGTGTGTGTGTGTGTGTGTGTGTGTGTGTGTGTGTGTGTGTGTGTGTGTGTGTGTGTGTGTGTGTGTGTGTGTGTGTGTGTGTGTGTGTGTGTGTGTGTGTGTGTGTGTGTGTGTTAAGAAGGGAAACTTGGTAAAAAGATCCATTTTGATTCGACTTTGAGGGGAAAGATTAAGAACGAGAGCATTTTTACCAACTCTGACATCAGCATGAGCTCATTTTTTTTTTATAGAAGAAAAAAGATTTGTCAAGACCGGTTCCCTGAATTGACATTTTCAATCAATACAAGTCAAGGAAATGTTCTCTCAGATTTTGGTATTAAAAGTTTCAAAAATCCCAAGAAGCTGGAGTGAGAAGACGGTGTATTTCTAAAGTGTTTCTCTCCCTGATGCAGATAAAAATGCATTGTTTTGCCTCTCTGTGCCATGTCACTAACCTCCACTGTCTTCGAAAACACTTGTCTGTTTCACCGTGTTGTCTTCCTCTTCATTTTGTATCTTTCCATTCCACCGCTCACCTTCATCAAACCACTTCACCCGCAAACAGATCAGCGTGAAGGTTGGTTCTTTTCACTTTTTGTCACTTCCTTTAAACTTCAGATTTTATTTTGGAGAGGTCCAGCCCCCTACCTTCTACTTCCTGTGATGAACAGACTTACATCCTTCTTCCCTAGAGGCAGACATATTAATAATAGCTCTCCCTAATCCTCTGCAGTCTTAATTGTGTGCCGTTGTCTGCGTATTTGCATGGATCCCTGAATAGATCTTGCATGCCTCCCCATGCCACTCCTCCAAACCTTGTTTCAATTAGTCTTGCCAAAACATATAAAGGAATCATTGAGTAGTTAGCTTAAGTTATTATTAGATCTCTTGTTGTGTTTTCTTCCCCACCGCACCCATATTGTTCTTGTCAACTGCATCCAGCAAAAATCACAGCAGCTTTCATCCTCACACTTTCCATCCGCCTCTGTAGAGCCATCGGAGGTGTGTGATGGATTACTCGGGTATTCAGGTGGCAACCGGATTTGTCAGGTATTTAAGCAGCAACACCCCGGCTCTCCCACTGAGGGACATGGGTATCGGAGCTGACAAAGCCATTCTCAGGGGATTATGTGTGTTTTACCACCATGGGCAGCTTCCATCAAGAGACAGATGGATGTGATAGTCACATGTTGGTCCAATGAGAAAACTACACATCCTCCAGTGTTTGTGTGATGCTGCTGAATGCCCAGCAGGGAGATGAAAGATAACGTATGGCTCATGTGTACTCTTACTCTTGAGAGCGCATGTACTTAAAGGTGCAATTTGTAAGACTGACATCCTGTGGTCAAATGTTGTTACTGCAGTTCATTTTTAAAACTAAAAAGTTTCTCTAGCCGTTTTTACTAAACAATGGCGTCAATTTGCCTAAATGTTGTGGCGGCACTAGGGAGCCTTAGGTCGTATGTAAGTGGTCAGACCATGGCGGTAATTTGGCGCAATCGTGTCCTTTTTACAAAAGATTAGGCGATGGCGGCATAAAGAGGGTATGGGGTCCCGGTCCCTGCGCAGCCACAGACTTCGGTTTATCTTGGACATAACTGGCTTTTTATTGCGATTGAAGCCGTGCTCATTAAGTTATTTTAACAAGCTGCTCCTAAAGGTGTCTGTCCCCCACAGTCCCTGCACAGTCTCTGGGGATCTGAGCTCCAGCTCTAATGGAGAGAAGCCCCAGGAGTGCTGTTGCGCTCTAATTTGCCATCTCAACTGATTTTGTTCAAAAAGTGAAACTTGCAGCCTGTTTAGTTTCATTTTTAATTAAGTTGCTGGCCAGAGCTCAGCAATAACTCCCTACGTCATCATGACACCTCCCTCTGTTGCACCAAGGCAGACAATTATCGCAATATTCTTATTAAGCGAGACGGAACGAGTGCTGCAAAATCTGCACGCCATGCCTTTATGGAGCGTTTATGAGACACACCATTGGTGATATTACTCTGATTTGCCAGCATGGTGTGTCTTGTAAAACGGGCTTCTCGCTCCCATTCTGT